GGTGACAGTATACAGCCTTGTCGTACACCTTTCCCTATTTTGAACCAAATTATAAAAATATAAAACAATAATTATTAAAATTGAGATATATTAAAAGGCAAGATATACAAACCATGGGCATGGAGAGAATGAATATATCAATAGTGAAGCCATCTTACGTTGTTATTGGTTCCTTGGGACCCCCAAGCCTGGTGACATAACCAGGTCTTGAGGGACTTCCAGTACATTAGCAGGGATAGTGCTAATTCTCCAGCGGGCGGAAGAATGTTCCATAAGGCAGTCACAAGGGCACAGAAGGCCCACTTCCTGGGATCCACCAAATGTAAGTTCCTGGCGGATGTTATTCGCAACATGCCCTCTCTGCCAGATCGAATGGGACGGGCTGATGTAATCGGGGAGAGGCAGTAAACAACATTGACAAAGTCTTAGCTGGATCAAAACATACAAAGCAATCCTAATTTGATTTTATTCATCAATAAATTATATCTGAAGAGTTAACTAAAAGTAGTCGCCATAGCAATCATTAAACCTTTTGGCTTCCTCATTCTCCAAGTTCAGGTGAGTCTGGATCCAGATGTAAATAACATCCTAGTTTAATGCAAAAGGGACAACAATTGGTATTTTTCTTAAAATGCATATCTAATTTTGAGGAATAAATAATTTTCACCAATTCTGGGAATGTAGAATGCTCCTATTTAATTTCTTGCTCATGTGTTAAAAGGTGTCTGCAGCATGCAAGCAATTCTAATTATAGTTTGCTTGGTTTTTATTTTTTAAACAAGTTTCTTTGTTCTTAATTTAGGCTATTTTTGTTTTGTCTGGTGGAGTTGGTACAGTAACTCAAGAAGAAGATAATATATTTTCTGAAGAAAATACATTGTAAGTTGTACTGCATGAAAATGCACTCATCAAAAATCTACCCTCAGTTAGATTCAGATAAATTCTTTTCTTTGTGGGAACTATGTATATGCTTATAACTTTTCTTTAAGGCATTTAAAACATGCAGTGCCATACCACATATAAGACAGATACATTCTGGCTCAGAATAGTCATATTTTATGTCCAATTGTTCCCCTTTGACAATGAAAAGCTCTTTGATTAGCAGAAGCTTCCCTCAGAAGGAAAAGGTATGAGGCAGCTTTTGCTGATCTGCTTACTTTTGGAAACCTCTTAGGAATTGAATAGAAAATGATGGATGAGGGAGGGGGAGCAGCAAAATATTGCTCCCTTTCCTATTTTGCTAAGGGAAATTGGTGCTGGATCAAACAGTCCTTCACTGTTGGAGGGGCACCAGAAAGTACAATTAGATCATTATTTCTTAATTCTGTTTGTACCTTGAGGAAAGCTTTTATAATACACAAGACTCAATTCCATCAGCATCCCACACAAATATTGTGAAAGAATCTTGATTAATCTCTGCTATACAGGTAGTTCTTGAGTTATGACCATTTGTTCAGAGACTGTATCACTTAGCAATAAAAATTCCGATCCCAATTGTGGTTGTAAGTTGAGGACTACCTGTAGGAAGTTTGTAAAAGGGCGAGCAAAAAATAGTTTTTCATTCCATCATTGAAATAGTATAAGATACATGTGGCTTTCCTAGTTAGTGCTCATAATGTAATTGTAAATTGGGGTTAAGATTAATTTGCAACCAATTTAATGAACTGTTGGCCTAAGTTCATTTTGTTATAGTTAGAATTATTATTGTTGTGGCCTTGATTGAGCAATTTAACTATAAACTTAGGCACACCATAGTTTACAATGCATTATTTTTTCACGTAGAAGTAATCTGCTGTTCAAGCTTATCTTTTTTTTTTCTCAACAGAAGTTTTATGAATCCACATGAGCCTTTTAGAATCCCAGATGGTCTTCATGAACAAGTGATGATATTTGAAGCATTATATAATACTGCTTCTTCTAACAACAGTTATCAGAAAATTTTGGACCATTACCCAGATCCAACTTGTGAAAGCTTATATGAGTATGTTCTTTATTTCTCCTTTTAGTTGAATGCTCTTTATTAAGCAAAAAGTATGGAGGAAGAGTTGGACTGAATATCAATTGTCAATTGTTAAAAGTTTAACTATTTGTATTCTTGCTAAATTTATGGAGAGAGATTCCTTTCTAAACCTTCTGTTGGAGCCTCCCAAGCATCTGTTTCAAATGTGCCTTAGTTTAAAAGCAGAGCAATGGATTGCTATATACAGTCAGGTCCAGAAATATTGGGACATCGACACAATTCTAACATCTTTGGCT